GCCTCCTCCAGGGTGGCCTGGGCTTCCTGGGCTCTGCCCACCTGGCTGGCTGTTCTCGGATGTGTCAGCTGATCTCCCTGTTTATCCTCAGTGTGTCCCCACCTAAAAACACAGGTGACACCTGCCCCTCTGGGCTGTTACAGGCAGGGTGGAGAGACAGTAGTTAAGCCCAGTGTGTGCTGAAGGAATGTCCACTTTGGGGGCCTGGGGGCTCTCTGCGAGCTGGCCCTGGCCTATTCTCGCCCCACTGCACCTGTCACAGGGCTAGGTACCCTTACAGAAGGGCCTGACAAGTGAGACTGGAATGAACCAGGGATTGTTTTCCTAAACCACCACATGAGGGCCGAATCTCTCCTTACAGGGGTAGGAAGGAAACCAATACTCAGAGAGTAAGTGACCTGTCTGGGGCCACAGGGCAGGGCTGGGATCTGGCCATGTGTGACTTGCGGTGAGCTCGTCCAGTGGCCTCCTTGATGCTGGCCCTGGGGTCTGGAGGCATGAGCACAGGGTGGATGTGAATACAGGGTGAGCTGGTCTCAAAGCCTTTTTTTTTTTTTTTTTTTTAACAAAAGTAACTTTGCTTGCATTTTTCAGGGGGAGGTAAAGCGAGTCTCCAGAGGGTGTGCAGGGAGCTGAAGCCCAGCCATCTGGCTCCTAGCTGGCCTGTCACCCACTGTACCACACGGCCTTTCTAACAAGAACACGATTCAAAGTGGCCTCATCGCTGCCTTACTGAAAGGGAACCCAGAAGACTGGAGAGCCCCTCCAAGGTGCTCTGGGCTTCGCATCTGCTCCCCCAGGTCCCTGCACCAGGCACCGGGCTTACCTGGCAGAAGGTGGGGGTGTGGACGGCTGACAGCGCCCGGCGCAGGGCATCCACATCACTGAAGCCGGGTGGCAGGCGGTCAACACAGAGGCAGCGGGAGTGGAGCAGGGCAGGTGTCAGCTGCCCGGCATCTGTCCAGTGCACGTAGAGGGTGCGTGGGCCCAGGGGCTTGCCCAGCAGGTCTGACTTGGCGCGGGCTGCCGAGTCCTTCTTCATGTACTCGGCGAAGCCGTAGCCCTTGGAGTGACCGGTGCGCTCGCTGTAGACGAGGAAGCAGCGCTCCAGGCTGCCGAAGGGCCGCACCAGCTCCTCGAACTGCTGCTGCGTGAGGCTGGGAGGCAGGTTGGCCACACAGAGCAGGGCATCCGTGGGCTGCAGCTGCACCGAGAGCTCCCGCTCCCGCAGGCGGCTCTGGTGGAAGGCACTGATGGCGGCCTCCGCCTGCTCCCCGTTCAGCAGCGTCACAAAGGCTGTGGCAGGTGGGAGCATGGGGTCAGTGGGGGCCCCCAAGGGCCTGCACCTCTACCCCATGTCTGCCCACACCCACCTCCTGCTAAACCACACGTGACCTCAGGAATACTGAACCACCAGGACATCATGGGCACCAGCGGACTGGCATATCCGTGAGCAACAATAGCCAGTGCCGCCTGGCTCCTCCAGGCTTGCTCCTTACAACCCACGGTGACGATCACCCACTGGGGCCTGGTCCCACCCTAAGAACTACTGTGTTGGCCAAAAGTTCATTCAGGTTTTTCCATAAGATATGCCATGTGGGGTAGTAGTGTTTACCCATGTGGTCCCTGGAGCCTGGGTTTCAACGCCAGCCCGAGTGGCTCTGAAGTCAGTTTCCTCCTCTGCCAAATGGGAATAACTTCCTCCTCACAACCACTATCTTTCCAGCAAGGAAATGGGCACAGGGCAGGGCACTGCTCAAGTGGAGAAGCCTGGACTTGAAGTCCAGCAGGCCGCCTCCCAGGCACCCACAGTTTTTCAGATGTTTTAATGTGTTTGGCTTCACAGCCAACTCCAACAGGCCATGTCCACTTTGCTGGTGAGAAAACTGAAGCTCGGGAGGGTAAGTCACTTGCCTGTGGCCAAACAGTGAGGACAGACCAGGACAAAAACCCAGGACTCTTAGCTTCCAGGACCCAAGATCTTAACCACAACCCTAGTCCACCAGGTGGGTCTCCAGGGATCACCTGTCATCAGTCCCTTCTCTCCCGTGTTATAGACTGCAGGCAAAGGCCCTGGCAGGTTTAACAGCCGGCACGATGCCTGGTGGACACAGATATCCACCGAGAGCTTCCTATGTTGGGGGCCAAGATCAGTCCCTGTTCTCATAGAAATGACCACCCCATGGAGGCAGGTGAGTGGGTCAGTAGTGACAGCCTAGGGTGGTCAGTGCTATGATGGGGTACGGGGTGTGCTTGGGCACTGAGAGGAGTTGCCCTGAGTGGAAGAGACGTTAAAAACAGAGGGAATAGCCTGGAACCTTAGGCACCTGAAGAGATGGTAAGGCTGAGGTACCTCTTTGCAAGGTAATATCAGGAGGAGCTCAGACAGGTTGTGAGGTGACAGAAGAATGATCAGGGTTAGGACCAGGTTTGATCAGATTTACAATCAGATCAGAGCTGGCTGCCTAGGGGAAGGTAGGCAGGGGAGTGAAATCATGGAGGCAGAGAGGCCAGAGGGAGGCAGACATGTCTCCGAGACCCAGAGCAGGAAAGACTGTTGCCCCAATCTTGGGTGCCCTCATCTTGGGTGCCCATCATGGTGCATCCTTGCCGTTTCTCTTCTAGGTTACCCAGCAGATACCTGGGCAATGGGGACCCCTTCCCAAACATTCCCTCTGCTGGCCAGTCCCCCAGGCCTGTCTGATCTTCTTCAAGTCCTCCAGAATTACTGGCGCCCTTCCAATCCCTTGGCTCCCATCTGGTTCATGGACCCTCTCTCTCTGCTAAATGTTGGACCTGAAGCTCAGAAGACACTGGGCCAGGACTCTCCAGCTTCAGGGACTGTCATCACCTGCCACTAGCTCACCCCACCCCACCCCAGGGTCCCACAAACCTGTCCCTTTGTACTTGTCCACAAAGCAGTACTTGAGCTCATAGTCGCTGAGCAGGTCGTGCACCTCCTGTGGAGACAAGCCAAAGGACAGGGAATCACGGAGAAATGAAGAGAGTAACCCAGTGGTACGTTCATGTGGACCAGCTATGAAGGCAGGTCAATCACCAGCCCCATTTTACAAGTGAGGACACAGAGTTTCAGAGCAGTTGCTTGCCCAAGGCCATTGCAGCCATACCTGGCAGGGCTGGGAGGCAGAGCTCAGCTGTAGAGCCCATGCTTTTTTTTTTTTTAAGAGCCCATGCTTTTAATCAACACAACACGCTCTTATTAGAGAGTCAGGTCAGTCTGAATTCAAGATCCAGCTCTGCCCACAGGGGAGCTGTTTAACCCATCTGAACCTCAGTTTGCAAGACTGACTCTTTCCAACAACCCTGCAAATCGAGTATTAATAAGTCCACTTTGTAGATGGGAAACTGAGGCTCAGAGAGGTGAAGGAAATTGTCAAAGGACAAGCAGCTGGTCAGGGCACAGCAGTGGGAATGCCACTCCTGGGTACCTGACTGGTGACCCTGTGTACTTAATAAGCCCACATTGTGTGGCTTCATGTGCCTCCCCATTCCCTGCTACTGACAGCTTCCTGCAAGCCAGCTGCAGAAGCGAGGCTCTGGGGCCTTTTAGTGCCAGACACACTGTGCACCCTGCAGGAGAGAAGGCATGTTTCCGGCTGGGAGATGGTGGGCAGTAGGAGGATGACTGACTCTAGAAACACCTGTCTCAAGTCTGTCCCCAAGTCACACCCCTCCCACCACTCCTAGGGTCCCACCACCCACGGGCAGAGAGAGTCAGTGGTAGGTGTGCTGGAGGGGCCAGGGAGCAGGGATTCTCTACAGCAGGGACAAAGAACCCATTCCATTGCTGAAGGGCAGGGCAGACTAGGTTCAATCTTCCTGGGTCCAAAGAGCACTGGGAAGTTCTGTCCCATTTGGCGCCTAGAGAAGGGCACCCCTGGATTACCAAGGCACCCCAGATCAGCCAAGGAGGGCTACATGGAACAATGCCCCCTCCTTCTCTGCAGGTCTGTGGCATGAGGACAGGAGATGACTCCATTTTTCCAAATTAATCCTGAGGCTTTTGAGGAAAAAAGACCCCTGGGGCTGCCTTAACTTCCGGATCTACCCCTAAAAGGAATTAAAAAACGCCTGCTATGAAAAGGCACACTCTAGTCAACCATGAAGGTTATGGATATGAGATCCCACCACTCCATGCTAGAGCAGGAAGCAACTGGCGTCCCTGATTCCACAGTCCCAATCTGGCTGTCCATTCACTATCCCCCCAACATGGCCAAAGCTGCCCGCCCCCTTCCATTCCCCGCCCCCTTCAACCACTTGGCTCCTTCCAAGCCTCTGGTCGCCCCTAGCAACGTCCTCCCTCAGTCCAAAGTTGGTTTCTCCCTCCATCTCCGACCCCCTACGTCCCGCTCTTGGTCTCTCCCGATCCCGCGTGGATCCCGCGCTTGGACTCACCCGCCGACGACCCCCCCCCCCCGTGCACGCCAGCGTTGGTGTCGCCCGGTTCCCCCCGCGCACGCGCGCGGTGGTATTTCCCGCCACGCTCCCACACGCCCCCCCCCCCCCATACCTGGTTGGTCACGTCCCCCGGGAGGCCCCGGATCAGTATCTTGCGGCGGTTACGGAACTGGCGCTCGGTATGTTCCAGGCGTTTCCGGATCTCCTCTGGATCTAGCGGCGGCAGTTCTTCTTCAGGCGCCCGGCGCTCCGCGGCATCACCAGCCTCAACCTCGGCCCCAGCCTCTGGGCTCAGCGGCGGCCGGTGAGTAACGGACACGTCGGCCGCCATCTTGGGAAGCCCGGCGCCTTCTGGGACCAGCGAGCCGGGGCGGAGCGGCATAGAGCGGCAACGAGGACTCGCCCGCCGATTGGCCAAGAGAAGCCCCGCCTCCCCTTGACTCCTTCAGCCCATTGGGTGAGGCCCGGCCCGCCTCTCAGTGTTCAAGCCCTATCTGGGCACTACAGGCTCCGCCCTTTTCCGCTATCGCGATGTCACTCAATGGACTCGCGAAGCTGCGAGATGGAATCAAGCCACAGTGTAAGGACTTTCAAGCCTTTATTCAGAATTCGAAGATAGATACAGCCAAGCCCCTGTCGCCTTTGCTCAGTATCACTGAGCTCAGGATAACTCCTCTGCCACAGTCACGGGCTGTGTAGACTTGAGGGGCCACCGGGTGCTCCTTGGCCTCAGGTGGTAAATGTCATGTTGCCTCTGCACCCTAAAGACGTACACTGAGGCTGCAGCGAGAGTCACCAGGCCCAAGATCGCTAACACTCCCAGGGCGATATTGACTGTGACGTGGTTCCGACCTGTGTGGAAAGTGAAGAACAAATAAGCTCGTCTCGGCCCCCCCTAAGCTTGCCCGTCTAGGATAAACACGCCTTGCCAAGGCTTACCTTGAACGTCCATCATCACTAACATTTTGTCCATGCCCCGTGAACTGGCCGCCTGGCAGCTGTAGGTACCACTATAGTTTAACAAGACGAGGAATGGAATCCCGACGGGCACCTTAAACTTGGAGCCTTCCCGCAGACACTGTAGCTGGGGGTTCGGGTTGCCCCGGGCCTGGCACTGCAGGATATGCATAGTCTTTTCTTTCCACATCAAGCGTTGGGGACATTTAGCTCTGTCAATCGTGGGGCCGTCTGTGGAACCACCAAATGATCAGACACACCCAACACACCCGAAGCACAATGGGGCAAGGGAGAGACAAGTCTCAAACCAAAGAAGCAAGGGATTAAAGGTCAGCGTGACCTACTCACACAGGACGCGCAACTGGACACTCCTATTACGGTGCAACGTCACCCCATCCACCTCGATGGTGGCGTTACAGAAGAAGGTGCGCCTGTCGTCCTTCTCGGTGGCCTTTAGCTGAAGCTGGGCAGGCTGTCCTGGTCCCGCGGCTGGAACTCCGTCCAGCATGACCTGGACTCGGGGTCCGGCCGCGCAAGTCACAGTCACCGGGGTCCCCTCGGTGGCGTTAGGCTCACTCAGGTTCAGGTTGGGCCCCTGGAAGCCTAAAGGTGGGGCATTGCCCAGGAGTTTGCTGACCGCACACCTCCCTTGGGTGAAGTCCTGCCCCCACCTGCCTCTTTCCCCTCGGGGTATCCAGGCTACCCCTTCATCTACTCTGCAGCCCTCACCCCACCCAGTTTGGGGCACTCAGGCTCCTCTCGGGTTACTTAGGCCCCTCGTGTCTCAGGTTTAGTCTTTGCCTGTGTGCCACGCCCCCTTGGGCTAGAGGCCAGTCGCGTTCTCTTTGGTCAGCCCCGCCCCTCATTTCTTGAGCTATTTTGTCTCCGCCCCCTCTCACTGCTGCTCTTACTATGGGACTTCCCTGATAGCTCAGTTGGTAAAGAATCTGCCTGCAATGCAGGAGACCCCGGTTCGATTCCTGGGTCGGGAAGATCCGCTGGAGCAGGGATAGGCTACCCACTCCAGTATACTTAGGCTTCCCTTGCGGCTCGGCTGGTAGAGAATCTGCCTGCAATGTGGGAGACCTGGGTTCAATCTCTGGGTTGGTAAGATGCCCTGGAGAAGGGAAAGGCTACCCACTCCAGTATTCTGGCCTGGAGAATTCCATGGACTATACAATCCTTGTCACAAAGGGTCGGACACTTTCACTTTTACTATATGCAGTCAAGTTCCCGGGGTCAGCCCCACCCCTCGCCTCCTGAGCAGTTTTAGCTCCGCCCCCTCTTACTGTAGGCAACCAACTTCTCCCGGGTCTGTCGGTTCTCGACCCCCAAGGTTACGTTGCAGACAATCTCTTGGGTGCCCTCCTGTTCGATTTTTGCTGTGGCTGAGGCCGTGAGCGTGTCCGCTTGGCTCACGACTGTGGCATTCAGCATCTGGTTCCCCAGCACCAGTTGAATATGGGCCTCCGACGCTGGGAACAGCCCATTCAGGCTGCAGTTAACAGGCCAGGAGGTTTCCATCTCCCAGAACGGAGGGAAAACGAGGCGCGGGGGGGTCTTGGGCATGGCTTGAAAGAAGGATAGAAGTGAGCAGGAGGGGGTCTCACAGCTGTGGAGATCCCCTTTCCCCATGACACTCATCCCCCTAAACCAGGGTCCTTCTTTCCCAGGATACCTTGCTGCCTGCCTCACCCACCCCCCTTTTCCAGGACACACAGAGCCTTCTTCAAAAGTCCCAAGACTGTGAGCCTCCCATCTGAGGCTACCCTGCCCAATGGCCAAGGGCGTGTGTTCCTTAAAGCCCTGAGGGCCAGGCCACCCCATTCTCAGGAATTCCGTGGCCAGGGAACGCTTACTCTGGCTCCACTCATCACCCACCGTCTGCAGTTCTTTCCCTCACCGAAGGTTCGAAGCTTCCTGGGGCCCGAGGTGTTCTGGAAGAGTTCCAGTCCTTGGGACCGCAGGTCCAGTTCTGAGCGGCAGGAGAAATTGGTGCCATGATCCTCTCTTCTCGGCTGCACCATGAACGTGACCTTGGTAGGCTCCTCCTTTCCCACGGGCTGCCGGCCCAGCTCCTCCTCCCAGCGGAGAAGCACCACAGTGAGGTGGTTCCGGGGGGCCCCGCCAAACACCAGACAGCTCAGGTTGAGTTGTTCACCTACCGGCTGCCAGAGGGGCAGGGGTGCCAGCTCCACACGCTCTGGGAACCCTGAATGGAGGCGTGTGAAGGGGAGAGTAGAACATACCAGTCAGCCCAGCAGCCCCCACCGTGGACAGGAGTCCAGGGTGGCCCACTGCAGGACTGTGAACTTCAAGTTAATAAACTTGCTGGACTTACAAGTGTGCTAGTATATGGGTTTGCCATTATCATTAACATCATGATTATTATTTCCTGTTTTGTTGGACACCTTGGCAGGCATTGAAATGAATCAGTTTTTCTGTTCACAGTTAATGGGGGAAAAAAAAAAGGCAAGGAAGAGGACTAAAGTTTATGGCCATTTATGATGTTAATAGTAATCATAAAACCTCCTGTTTATCTTGAGTTTTCCTTCCTCTTTCCAGATGTCATCCACCTTCATTCACACACCAACCAAGTGAAATCTCCTCTATTATTCTACCCTTTTATGGACAGAGAAACAGGCCCAGTGAGGTGAGGTGATCTGTCTAAGGATGCGCAGCCAGGAAGGGGCAGAGCCAGGCTTAGATAGTGGGTTTCCCAAACTCCAGACCTGTGTGCCCACCTACCTCCATGACATCAGATCTAGGAAGTCCCCTGACCCCTCCTTCAGCCTCTGGCCTGGACTCTGATCTTGGCCATTCCCAGAGCTTGGTCCAGTCCTCCCCAGTCTGTCCCAGGTGCTCAAGGTCTAGGGCAGCCTCTTGAGGGTGCTCTGTACAGTCCTGGGGGTACTCAACAGATCCAGGCTGGGTCCAATCCCAGCTGCAACTGCAGTGGCCCTCAAAGGCACACATTCCAAACCCTGGGCCTCCCCTGGGGGAGCAGCTCTCAAGCCTGGCTCTGAAGCTATCACAGGCTTCCATGGAAAATTTTTAACATCTAACCATTTACAGGGTTTCTCTGGTGGCTCAGTGTTAAAGAACCTGCCTGCCAATGCAAGAGATTTAGGTTTGATTCCTGGTCCAGAAAATTCCCCTGGAGAAGGAAATGGCAACCCACTCCAGTATTCTTGCCTGGAGAATCCCCATGGAGAGAGGAGCCTGGTGGGCTACAGTCCACAGGGTCACAAGGAGTCAGCCACAACTTAGCAACTGAACAACAACAAATTTACAATTTTAGAGTATTTAACAAGGAGGCTCCCATATTAACCTCCACTCAAGGGCTAGTGGTATGGTAGCCAATGCTGATTATGCCTGGGCTCTCTATGGTGGATGAGGGAGCCCCCACGTGGAGTGTTTGCCAATTTCTGTGGTGTAAATATCCCACTTTTGGCTGATTTAAAGCCACTCAATGTGACACAGAGTTGGGAAGAGATGAGCCCACTGGGCTCTCGTGAGCCGGGACAAAAGGCTCCTTCCACAGCACTGGACAGAGGCATCTCGGTCACAGACGGGGATACCCAGATACACACGTAGGCAAGTGTGCAGAAATACACACAAAGACACATATAGACACATACTGGCCCAGACATCCACACATGCTCAGAAACAGACATACTCACATAGATACACACGCGGGCACAGATACACATACGCATATGCAGACACTCAACACACAGAGATACAAATCCAGGGGCTTCCCTGGCGGCTCCGTGGTAAGGAATCCACCTGCCAATACAGGAGACATGGGTTCAATCCCTGATCTGGGAAGATCCCACATGCTAAGGAGCAGCTAAGCCCATGCGCCGCAACTACCAAGTCTGTGCTCCAGAGCCCGCAAGCTACAGCTGCTGAAGCCCGCGCACCCTAGAGCCCAGGCTCTGCAAGAAAAGAAGCCATAAGAAGCCCGAGCACTGCAACAAGAGAGTAGGCCCGCTCGCCACAACTAGAGAAGAGCTTTTCAAGCAATGCAGACCCAGCCCAGCCAAAAATAAATAAATAAAATTTTAAAAGCTATTTTTAAAAGGTACAAGTCCAGAGACACACACAGGCACACACAGCATACAGACAAACACATTTGTAGACATACAGGTACATTCACACAAAGATAAGGACACTCAGATCCACCTGCTCACGGACATACAGGTACACAACCATGAATACAGACACTGGTGCACGCACAGGAAGAGCATACACACAGCTACAGATGTACACTACACTCTTCTGAGGCCTCACAAAACCATAGGCACCCTGAGTGATGTAGTCAGCCATTTCCTAGTCTATTGGGTTCTTTTGTTTGTTTTTGGCTGTACCACATAGCTTGTGGGATCTTAGTTCCCCGACCAGGGATTGAACCTTGGGCCTTTAGTAGTGAAAGAACTGACTCCTAACCACTGGACAGCCAGGGAATTCCCTGTCTTCTTTTAAATGCAGAGAAGCCGGAAGGATTCATAAGAAACTGGTAACGGGGATATCAGGTCCAGAGAGGAAGACTTCAGCTGTGAAGAGCAGGGATTTGAGACCTGGACTCCAGGCGTCTCTGCTCATGGACCCTGGCAAGTGACTTCACCCCTACTGAGCCTCAGTTTCCTCATCTGTGAAATGAGGCTCATAAGTGTACCTCCCGACCCCAGGCTTTCAGAAGGGCTTTTGGGTGAGCACCTAGGGGTCAGCACTTTTTTAAAATACTTTTTGATTTGGGAGCCAATGAATTTATTACCTGTCATAAAAATAAAAGCAATAGGGGACTTCCCTGGTGGTCCAGTGGCTAAGACTCCACGCTCCCAATGCGCAGGGGTTTGATCCCTGGTCAGGGAACTAGATCCTACTTCCCGCCTGCTGCAACTAAGACACAGTGCAGCCAAATAAATAAGTAAATATCAAAAAAAAAGAAAAAATAGGGACTTCCTTGGTAGTCCAGTGGTTAAGAATCTGCCTTGCAATTCAGGAGACACGAGGTCAATCCCTGGTTGGGGAGCTAAAATTCCCTAGGCCACAGAGCAACAAAGCCGGAGAGCCACATGTACTCCAGAGCCCGCATGTCACAACTACTGAAGCTCGTGCCACAACTGGAGTCTATGCAAAGGAAGATCCCTCGGGCTGCAACTAAGACCTAACGCAGCCAAACAAAATAAATAAATAACTATATTAAAAGAAATTTTTAAAATTGAGTAAAAGACATGTCCTTTTTTTTGGCCGTACCAAAAGCCTTCCACGGTTTTAGTTCCTTGACTAAAGATTGAACCCAGGCCCTTGGCAGTGAAAGCCTGGAGTCCTAACCACTGGACCACCAAGGAATCCCTGAAATATCATTTTTAAAATGCTTATTGGGCTTCCCAGGTGGCACTAGTGGTAAAGAACCCGCCTGCCAATGTAAGAGACTCAAGAGCTGCAGGTTGGATCCCTGGGTCAGGAAGATTCCCCCGGAGGGAAAGCACAGCAACCCACTCCATTACTGTTTGTCTGGAGAATCCCATGGACAGAGGAGCCTGGTGGGCTACAGTCCATGGGATCACAAAGAGTCAGACACGACTGAGGCAACTTAGCATGCGTGCACACACACAAAATGCTTATTGAGAATCAAATAAGTTGATTTCACAGCTGCTGCTTTGGCATGTGGTTAAGATGTACCCCTCTATCTCTGACTCTGTCTCTCTCTCACACACACACACACATGCACACACACCCCCAGGTCTGAGCTCTGACTGAGTGTCCGGGTCCATTTGTGCGAATTCAGGGCCCCCGTCCCACCTCGCTCCCCTGTACTGTTGGTCATCTGTCCCCACCACTGCCCAAGGCCATCCCACCTCCAGCCACGGCTACTCACCATACACTGTGATGTTAGAGGAACCTACCACTTGCAACTTATTGCAGAGGCCAGAGCAGAGAAGTTCCATGTCACCAGTCACGTTGGTGAGACGGAAGGCCGCCCAGCCCAGGCCACTGCTGTGGGGCTCCTTGGAGAAGGCTGTCTCCAGGGAGATTAATCCAGGGCTGGGGCAATCTAAGCTGCAGTTTACCACGAGGGGCTTTCCAAAAGGCACTACTGGGTCCTTCGGCTCCACTCGTAACTGGTACGTCTGTCCCTGGGCACCTGCACGAACAGAGTCTCTGCTGGGGGCTCCAATGCCCCCCAGCCCACGCAGCTGCAGGCTCCACCCTCCGACACCTCCCCTAGCCAAGATATGAAGGTCTCTGCCTTCGACGGAGCTTCAGTTTAGTGGGAAAGACAGATGATGGATCAGGAACCAAGGAGAGCTGAGAAGGAGGCCAGGAGGAAGTGAGTCAGGAAAGGCTTCCTGGACGGAACCACTACGGTCAGTTTTAAAGGGTCAAGGAGGATTTAGCCAAGTGAAGGGCAAGAGTGATCCTGGCAGACGGAAGAACATAGGCAGAGATCAAGAGTCCGGATGGAGCAGGGAGTGAATGCGTGCAGGCATGAGTGTTTGGGTGGATGTGTGTCTGTGCTGTGAAGAGGGCAGGAAACAAGTGAAAGGCAGGGACCTGGCCTCAGGGAGTCCTGAAGGCCGAGTTAAGGAGCCACCACTTTCCCCCAAGGATACTGGGGAGCCCCCTGACAGATCTGAGTCAAAGAAGTGTTGCTGCAGCCCTGGGCAGCAGGGTGTGAGGTGCACTGTTCTCCTTCCCGTCCCCAGCAACCCCCCATCTCCAGCCCTCCTCAGCTCACTGGGCCTCACCTGTGGACAACAGACAGCAGGCAAGAAGCAGAAAGACGACCGAAGCCCAGCAGACCCTGGGCGGCGGCCCTGAGGGCATCATGGTGGCCGGCCTGGAGGAGGAAGTTGCCTTAATGAAGCGCTGGGCACCGGTGAACAGGCAGGACCTCCAGGGGAAGGAAGAACCGTCACTGCAGCTAAGAATGCAGAAGTCCAGGGGCCACATCTTGCCCAAGCTGAAGGAGGGGCAGGGGCATATTTTGTGCCACCCTGTGCGTGTCCACAGTGACAGTCTCAGGGAAATGGAGAGTGCTGGCGAGTCTCCGAGGGATCTCAAAGAGGGCAGACCTCAGTTACACTCCTTGTCCCCAGATCAACCCACAGGAAGCGCTAGTGCAATCAGCTTCCTTTTTTCTCAGTACTGGAAAGCCTGGGGGGGGGGGGGGGTTAAGGTGGTAAGACATCTCCTTCCTGTTGAACTTAGGTGAAGTAGGCTGTTTTGTTCCCAGAGAGGAAGTTAATGGGGATATCTGGACACCGGCCTTGAAGGAAAAGGGCTGGGATTTCGAGGTGACGTTTCAAGGAGGGAACAATGGGCAGACTTTTGGGCAGAGCTTCAGAGAGTTAGCATGAGATCTCAATGTTCCTGGGAGGCAAATAAAAGATTGGGGGGGTGACAACGAGGGACCCCCTATGATGAGCAAAACTGTGACAATGAACAGAGCCCACATTTACTGGGAACTTGTGCCAGCCTCTATGTTGGCTGCCGGGGTGACCTCTATAGAGCTCCTTATCTTTCCAATAGTCATGTACGGATGTGAGAATTGGACCATAAAGGAGGCTGAGTGCAGAAGAATTGATGCTTTCGAATTGTGGTGTTGGAGAAGACTCTTGAGAGTCCCGTGGACTGTAAGGAGATCAAACCAGTCAATCTAAAGGAATCAACCCTGAATATTCATTGGATGGAATCATGCTAAAGCACCAATACTTTGGCCACCTGATGTGAAGAGCCAACTCATTGGAAAAGACCTTGATGCTGGGCAAGATTGAAGGCAGGAGAAGGGGGCAGTGGAGGATGAGATAGTCAGGTAGCATCACCAACTCAATGAACATGAATTTGAGCAAACTCTGGGAGGCAGCGAAGGACAGAGGAGCCTGGCATGCTGCAGTCCAAGGAGTCACAGAGTCAGACACAACTGAGCGACTGAACAACAACCAATCGTTGACGATCTCAAGGTGGTCTCCCATTGCCTGCGTGCACTGCTGAGGTGGAGTGTTTGAGGGACAGCTAAATCCTGAGCCACCGTCTGCCAAGGGTGATACTTGTAACTGAGTTCTTATCCCTGTCTTCATCCCTCTTGCCCTTCTCTTCCAGGTAGCTGGTCTCCTCATCCCAAGAGAAAGGACATGTGTGTGTGTGTGAGAGAGAGAGAGAGAGAGGTGGGCACCCCTACTCCATCAGCTCCATCTCTGAGGCCTTTGACCCGCCTCCCGTGCCTCTGATCTGAGCTCCAGAGAGGGACCTTCTTGAGGACCTTGATGGTGCTCAGGGTTCATCCACTCGCCCCATCCTTGAGGCCACGCCCCCTTCTGACCTGGAGTTCCTGCCCCAGTTAAATCTCTCCTCACTTGCCCCGCCTCTGCAAAAGTCCATTTCCCACATGGTGCCAAGAGAGAAACTAAAACCCAAATCAAAAGTATTTGCAACTCATATATCTGATAAGGGATTAATATCTAGATTGTAAGGAATTCCTACAACTCAACCACGACAAACTCAATTCAAAAATGGGCAAAGGGGACTTACCTGGTGGTCCTGTAGTTGAGACTCCACGCTCCCAATGCAGGGGCCCAGGTTCTATCCCTGGTCAGGGAACTAGATCCCACATGCTGCAATGAAAAGACCCTGTATGTCACAGCTAAAATCCGGTGCAACCAAATAAATAAATATTTTTTAAAAAATAAAAAATGGGCAAAGGACTCAAGTAGACCTCCAAAGAAGTTTTTGCCAATAGACACACAAAAAGATGCTCGACATCACAAGCCACTAGGGAAATGCAAGTCAACACCACAGTGAGATAGCTCTTTCACTTGTCACGATGACAACTCTCAAAAACACAAAACAAAACAGAAAGTAGCAAGTGTTGGTGATGATGTGGAGAAACAGAGCCATCGTATTCTGTTGGCAGGATTATAAAATGGTGCGACCACTATAGGAAAGAGTTTGATGGTTTCCCAAAAAGTTAAGCATAGAATTAAATGATTTTGCACTTCCACTCCTAGATATATAGACCTTCAAAAAATTGAAAGGGCTTCTCTTATAGCTCTTTCGGTAAAGAATCTGCCTGCAATGCAGGATACTCAGGTTCGATTCCTGGGTCAGGAAGATCCCCTGGAGAAGGTAATGGCAACCCACTCCAATAATCTTGTCTGGGGAATCCCATAACAGAGGAACCTAGAGGGCTACCGTCCATGAGGTTGCAAGAGTTGGACACTACTTAGTGACTAAACTACCATCAACAATGAATTGAAAAGGAGGATTCTAACAGATACTTGCCCACCAATGTTCATAGCAGCATGATTCAGACTAACCAAAAGGTGGAAGCAACCCAAATTCTGCCCATCGACAGAAGAATGGATAAATAAAGCATTTATAAATGGATAAATGAAGCATAGCCACACACTGGAGTATTACTCAGCCTTAAAAACAAGTGAAATTCTGACACATGCTACATGGATGAACTCAAAAACATTATGTTAAGTGAAATAAGTCAGACACAAAAGAAGAAATATTCCACTTATATGAGGTCACTAGAATAGGTAAATTCATAGAGAGATTAGAAGGGTGAGTACCAGGGGCTAGAGGGAGAAGGAAATGGGGGAGTTAGTATTTAATGAGGGCAGTTTGTTTTGGGGGAGGATGAAAAAGTGCTATAAACAGATTTTGATGGTGACTGTAGAATATCATGAATGTATTTATGCCACAGAATTATATACTGAAACCATTTGTGTCTGCTTAGTTGCTGAGTCACGTTCAACTCTTTGTGACCCCATGGGCTGTAGCCCACCAGGGTCCTCTGTCCATGGGATTCTCCAGGCAAGAATACTGGAGTGGGTTGCCAGTCCCTTCTCCAGGGGATCTTGCCAACCCATGGATCAAACCCCTTTCTCCTGTGTCTCCTGTTTTGCAGGCACATTCTTTACCCACTGAGCCATCAGGGAAGCCTCTTAAATCATTTTTAAATGGTTAAAATGATGACATTCATATTCATAACATTCATAATAAAATAAAGTGACATCCACCTATTTTGATTTGTGTCCAAAACATGAGATGGATTGACAGATGAATGGATAGATAGATGGCGAGACACGGTATGAAAAAGAAAATGTAGCACCATGGTAATTGTGGAACCTATGGGCCTTCCTGGTGGCTGAGTTGGTAAAGAATACACCTGCAATGAGGGAGACCTGGGTTCAATCCCTGGCCTGGGACGATCCCCTGGAGGAGGGCATGGTGACCTACTTTAGTATTCTTGCCTGGAGAATCCCCATGGACAGAGGAGCCTGGTGGGCTACAGGCCATGGGGTCACAAAGAGTGGGACACAACAGAGCGACTAAGCGCAGCACATGAATATTCACTGTACTCTTCTTCCAACTTCTCTGAATGTTTGTAACTGTTCAGATAAAATGTTGGAAAAGAAAACCTGCCTCTTGATCGATCAGGTGGCGGCTTGTGTCACAAAAGGAGGGACAGACATCCTCTGAGTATCACCTGCTGAGAGGACTCACGGCCCTCCGTGAGAGAGACTTGCCCCCAAACTGGACACAAAACCTGACTCTTGGTCGGTCAAACTGAGAACACAGGAATGTGTTAAACTGCACCACAAGGACACCAGCAGACTGGTGAAGTCTACAGTACAAACAGCTTCATTTCTTCAACACAGATGTTGCAAGGGGGGAAAAGGAAGAAGAGGAACCCAAAACTTAACAGGAACATGCCTCCAACCAGAAGCATGCATGAACCTTGTTTGGATTGTTAATAAACATTTATTTATTGATTTTACTTACCTATTGGCTGTGCCAGGACTTAGTCATGACATGTTGGCTCTAGTTCCCTGACCAGGGATAGAACGTGAGGCCCCCTGCTTTGGGAGCACAGAGTCTTAGCCACTGAACCACCAGGGAAGTCCCCTGTTTGGATTCTTATTTCAATGAACTGTAAACAACCATTCATCAAATATTGAAGAGACAATTGGGAAAATCTAAACACTCTAAACTATATAATGATATTGAGGGATGACTGTTTAAACTTCTCAATTGTGACAATGACATTGTTAGTTATTCCTTGTGGTAACATCTTTCAAGATATATATCAGTTTTTAACAGATGAAATGCCATGATTTCTGGGATTTGCTTCCAAATGATCCAGTGGCATGAGTCAAGTTGAAACAAGACTGGCCATGGGGAGACTTCCCTGGGGGTCCAGTGGCCAAGACTCTGGGCTCCCAATGCAGGGGGCCCAGGTTTGATCCCGGGTCAGGGAACTAGATCTCACGTACTGCAACGAAGCTCCCAAGTGCTAAAACTAAGACCCAGTACAGCCAAAAAAAAAAAAAAGAGAGATGGGCCATGAGTATTAGAAGATGTTGATGCTGGCTGTTGGTTAAGTGTGTGTGTGTGCTAAGTCGCTTCAGTCCTCTTTGCGACCCTATGGATCATAGCCCTCCAAGGACTGAACCCGCATCTTGGTTCTCTTGGATTGGCAGGTGGGTTCTTTACCACTAGCACCACCTGGGAAGCCCTTCTTGGTTAAGCATAGGTTCACTATATTATTCTCCCTGGTTTTGAATATGCTTTAAGTTGTCCATAATAAAAGTTTAAAAAAGGTAGCTGCCCGATGCAAACTACTATATACAGAATGGATAAGCAACAAGGTCCTGAGATCAGATCAAGGAGCTCACCTTCTCCCACACATACATAAAAAATACACAACCTAGAAGGGTGGGATGGAGTGGGAGATGCGAGTGAGGTTCAACAGGGGGGAGACACATGTATACTTATGGCTGATTCACACTGATGTACGGCAGACACCCACACAATATTGAAAAGCAATTGTCCTTCAATTAAATATAAATAAAGAAAAAATACATCTACAGGGAATGCCCTGGCAGTCCAGCGGTTAGGACTCTGTGTTTCCACAGCAGGAGACATGGGTTTAATCCCTGTGTTTAGTCGCTCAACCGTGTCTGACTCTTTGCAATCACTATGGACTGTAGCCCACCAGGCTCCTCTGTCCATGGAGATTCTCCAGGCAAGAGTACTGGAGTGGGTTGCCATGCCCTCCTCAATCTTTGGGGGAACTAAAATCTCACCTGCTGCCTGGCTGGAAAAAAAAGTCTACAGAACACTGGCAGATGTCAGACTTCTAAAAGGGCAAGAAAATCTCCACGAAACTGGTAGGACAAAAGGAAAAAAAAAATAGAGAGAAACAACAAGGTCCTACTGTATAGCACAGGGAACTCTATCCAACATTNTCAAATCATTAAAAAAAAAAAAAAAAAAAGCTGCCCAAGAGAAAGCCAAGATAATTTTGAAAAAAGAATGAGCAGAGACCTGCCTTACCAACCACTGAAATATTTTCTGGTGGCAACGACTTTCTAAATTACTGGGTTAGATCGTGCAGCTGTTCCCACTGGGAATCTATCTTGCAGATGCCCTTGAACGTGGGGGAAGCCATGTGAGCACACACTCACTCACTGTAACGGCAGCACATGTGCAGCAAAGGATTAGGAATGACTATATAAACCTTGGCAGGGAACAAACGCTGATAATTTTTTTTAAGATTTATTCATTTTTGGCTGCACTGGGTCTTTGTTGTGGCTCGGGGCTTTTCTCCCGTTGTGAGCGGGGGGCTGCTCTTAGCTGTGGTGCCTGGGCTTCTCATCGTTGCAGAGCCCGGGCTCAGCAGTTTCAGCTCTCAGGCTCTAGAACACAGGCTCAGTAGTTGTGGCACATCAGCTTCGTTGTTTCGTAGCATGTGGGATCTTCCCGGGCCAGGGATCGAACCCGAGTCACCTGCACTGGCAGGCAGATTCTGTATCACTGAGCCACCAGGAAAGCCCACTGATGCCTTTTGAATGATGAGTTACAATACAACCATAAAATAGAAAGCTCGCCTCCAAGACCTGTTATGTGGGGGCTGGCCGGGGGGAAGAGGTTAGAGCTCTGGATAGCAGTGCCTATTATTCTTTTTGTGAATGATGGGAAAACATGTGTACAGATTGCCTTATGTCTGGATAAAATGTGTCTGGAAGCCAGAACAGGAAACCAGATGACATTAGCTGTCTCCCAGGGAGGTGACAATGGTGGCTGAAGGACAGAGATGGGAAACATTTCAGTACTTATGTCAATATTACCCATCCAAAAAAAAGAGGGGGGGGGAAGGATTTAGAATTATACTGAATATTTCATTTAATTATTTTAAAATTAACCTAATCAACCTTTTACTTTTTATGTATTTATTTTAAAAATATTTATTTGACTGCAGCAGGTCTTAGTTGCTGGCTCGTGGGAGCTTTGATCTTCATTGCAGCACATGAGATCCCTAGTTGCTGCCTGTGAACTCTTAGTGTGGCATGTAGGATCTAGTTTCCAGACAAGGGAATTGAACCTAGGCCCCCCCCCCCTGTGCTGGGATTGTGTAGGATCAGCCATTGAACCACCAGGGAATTCCCTGATTATGTAATTTTAAAAGCCATTAGATGAACTTCCCTGGCGACCCAGTGGTTAGGACTCTGTGGTTTTACCACTGTGGGCCTGGATTTAATCCCTGCTTGGAGATCTAAGATCCTGCAAGTTGCATGTATGGCCAGAAAAAAGAAAAGAAAAAACTGTTATAAAAAGAAAATAACACTAGATTCATGTGAAGTTGTCCAGTCAGGAAAGCTGCAATGCAGAGGGTCTTAAGAAATCCCTGGGGAAAGAAATTTAACTGTCTTCCACAATGTAGCTTCCCTGGCAGCTCAGCTTGTAAAGGATCTGCCTGCAGTGCAGGGACCACTGGCTCGATTCCTGGGTCGGGAAGATCTGCTGGAGAAGCAACTGGTTACCCACTCCAGTATTCTTGGGCTTCCCCGGTGGCTCAGCTGGTGAAGAATCCACCTGCAATGTGGGAGACCTGGGTTCAATTCCTGGGTTGGGAAGATCCCCTGGAGAAGGGAAAGGCTACTCATTCCAGTATTCTGGCCTGGAGAATTCCATGGACTATATAGTCCACAGGGTCAAAAAGAGTCAGACACGACTGAGAGGCTTTCATTTCACAATGTAGCTGACCCATCTCAAGAACACCCATTAAGTAGAAACAAGTTGGCAAACACCAGATTAATAATAATATCAAATGTTTATTAAGAACTTATTTGCATATCTCTCTGGTAAGCATTTGATGACCTTACTAGCTCTTTACATTAGTCCTGCAAGGCAGCATGATCTCCATGCTGTCCAAGGGACCCTCAAGAGTCTTCTCTAGCACAATTTGAAAGCATCAGTTCTTCAGCATTCAGCCTTCTTTATGGTCCAGCTCTCACATGGACATCATGCTCCTTAAAGGAAATCAACCCTGAATATTCATTGGAAGGACTGATGCTCAAGCTCCAATACTTTGGTCACCTGATGCAAAGAACTGACTCACTGGAAAAGAACCTGATGCTGGGGAAGACTGAAGGCAGGAGAAGGGGGTGATGGAGGATGAGATGGTTGGATGGCATCACTGACTCAATGGACGTGAGTTTGAGCAAACTCTGGGATATGGTAAAGGACAGGGAAGCCTGGTGTGCTGCAGTCCATGGGGTTGCAAAGAGTCGAACTGAACAAGAGTAATTGAACAATGAGGCAGCAAGCAGGAACATCCCAAGTTCATAGTTGAGAGCTCAGGCACAAAGAGGGGAAGCCATGTGCCTGAGGTCACACAGTGAAAAAGGGGGAAACTGGCAATGTTATCTACATGGCATGTGGTCCCCCAATCCTTTGTTGATATATTTGACATGTATCTTGAGGGCCTTCTGTGTTCTAGGCACTGGTCTATATTGCTGGCTGGTTATTTAGCGGTGAGCAAAGGCTGAAGACTTGAATCCCGCTTCTTCTGCAGCAAGTGTCTGGCCCTAGGTGCAGTCCTCAGGGGAGCAGATCTTTGCTGAAAAAGGGCCCAGGGACCACACCTCTAGCAGAGGAAATACCAGTTTATACCCTGTCAGGGGAGATAGTGGGCTCAAAGGGCAGGAGATAGGGGAGGGCAGAAAGATCAGATTCGGGACTTCCATGGTGGTCCAGTGGCTAAGACTCCACACTTCCACTGCAGGAGACATGGGTTTGATCCCTGGTTGGGGAACTAAAGTCCCATATGCTTTGAGTGGCGTGGCCAAAAAAAAAAAAAAAAAAATCAAATTCAAGAGCCTGGTTAGCTCCTTGCTTGTCCTGGGTCCCTCAGGAGTCTATGTCAAGCTCATGACTTTGGAAGGGTCCATGATTTGAATGTTGTATCCCTTTAAAATCCCCATGTGGAAATCCTAAATTCCAAAAATGGGGCTTCCCAGGTGGCTCAGTGGTAAAGAATCTGCCTGCCAATGCAGGAGACACAGGAGATGCAGGTTCGATTCCTGGGTCAGTAAGATACCCTGGCATAGGAAATGGCAACCCTTTCAGGATTCTTGCCTGGAAAATTCCATTGACAGAAAAGCCTGGTGGGCTACAGCCTATAGGACTGCAGAGAGTTGGACATGACTGAGCACACACATGTATGCATGCACGCACATGTGCACGCACGCACACATACACAAAGTGATGGTATTAGGAGGTGCATAGGTCATGAGGGTGGTGCCTTCCTGAATGTGATTAGTGCCCTTATAAAAGAGGCTCCAGAAAGATGCCTTGCCCCCTTCCACCTTGTGAGGACACAGTGAGAAGGCATAGGCTATGAACCAGGAAGAGGGCTTTTACCAAAATTCAACCATGTTGGTGCCTTGATCTTGGACTTCCTAGCCTCCAGAACCATGAGAAATAAATTTCTGTTGTTTATAAACCACTCGGTCTGCAGTATTTTGTTATAGCAGTCCAAACGGAGTAAGTCTAGGAAAGTCAGTTTCCCGGGGTGGGGTCTCCCGATAGTGGTAAGGCACTGTGAGTCGGTGAGGCTGGCCTGCCACCTTGAGCTCCTCTTAGGTTAAGGGCCAGGAGTTGCTGTCAGTGGGTATACTGTCTGCTCCAATCCCCTCAAATAGAGCTGCTGGGGGGCTTCAGCAGACACTGAACACTGAGGGGGCCTGGCCTTGGTATTTCTCGTGGTATGATCTGAGGATGGGTACGAGGTTCTGGAAGGTCGGGCGGAATGAGGCCTCTGCCTTCCAGCAGTCCTTCATGAGGGAATAGATCTGGGGAAAGGAAAAAGTTTGTTATAGCAGTGCAAACAGGGTAAGTCTAGGAAAGTCAGTTCACTGGGGTGGGGTCTCGGGATAGCGGTAAGGCACTGGGAGTCAGGGAGGCTGGCTTCACCAGGTCGGGAACTCCACTCTCTCCCTGGTCCGATAGTGGAGAAGGGGGGAAGGGAGGATCTCACCTCAGAGGGGCATCTCTCTGGCTGTGGTAGCCTCTCCCCTCGTTCCAACAGCTCCGTGAGCCTCAGCACGGTCATCTGTCCCTGGGTGAGGCCTATGAGCTCGATGAATTTCTACAGAAGAAACAAGAGCAGCTGTTTTTTAAGAGGTAAAGCTGCCTCAATAGAGGTCAGGAGCCAGGAGCCAGATGGTAGGGATTCTAAGGGACCCTCGGGGGCCAATAGAGGATGAGATGGTTGGATGGCATCACCAATTCAATGGACATGAACTTGGGCAAACTTCAGGAGATGTGAGGGATAGGGAAGTTTGGCATGCTTCAGTTCATGGAGTTGCAAGAAGTCAGACATAATTTGGCAACTAAACAACAACCATTTCTCAGCTGTATAACTTTAGACTTATGACTTCACCTCTCTGGGCTTTGGTTCTCTCATCTGTAAAATGGGTGATAAAAGCTACCACCTGGGGTTATTGTGAAGTTGGAGAAAACTTTTTTTTTTCTCTCTTTTGGCCACACCATGTGGCATCTGGGATCTTAGTTCCCCCACCAGGGATTGAACCTGCATGCCCTGCATTGGAAGCAAGGAGTCTTAACCATTGGGCCACCAGGGAAGTCCCTAGATAAACTAATATTCATAATGTAAGTCTGATTAGATGTTTGGTGTTATTATTAAGCCTCCTAGCTAGTTGTTTTTGCCTATCGAGAATCTTATTTTCTCTTCTCCTATATACGCACTCTGATTGGCTTTGGGCATAAAGCCCTCGCATACTCCAGGCTCCTCCTCTCGGTCCAGAACTACACAGTTCCTCAAGGGCACGTGAACCAAGCTGGACCAGTCAGAGAGTCCCGAATCATGCTGGAAGGAGAAAGATCCTCCTCCTCTCAGCTAGGTCTACTGTGGCCAAAGCAGAGGGTGGGCTTGCTTTTTTTTTTTTTTTTAAAGGGAAGGCCCACTTGAGAAATGCTGTGCTGTGTGTAGTCACCCGACTACCATAGTTTCCGACTCTTTGTGACCCCGTAGGCTGTAGCCTGCCAGACTCCTCTGTCCATGGAATTCTCTAGGTAAGAATACTGGAGTGAGTGGCCAAGCTCTCCTCCAGGGGAATCTTCCCAACCCAGGGATCAAACCCAGGTCTGCAACATTGCAGGCAGATTCTTTACCATCTGAGCCACCAGGGAAGCCCATGAATACTCGAGTGGGTAACCTATTTCCAGGAGTCGAACTGGAGTCTCCTGCATTGCAGGCAGATTCTTTACTCGCTGAGCTACCTGGAAAGCCCCGAGAAATGCTAACAGTGGTTAAGACTCCACATCCCACTGCATGGGGCACAGGTTCAACCCCTGTCACGGATCTAAGATCCCTCATGCTGAGTGGTGTGGTGGGGAAAAAAAAAAAACTACCACAGAGAACAGCAAAATCAAGAGATGGAGAAAACTGGGTTCCTAATGGCATCTGACGATCTAGATCAAACTATGTTTCCACTGTCCCCCCTGGGGTTTGCAAATGGCAGAATTAGCTGTTCCTATATGAGTGAGTTTCTGTCACAGTCAAAGCCCTTTGCAGTGTAAGTGGCCAACTTTACAGAACTGTGAGGCACACCCATGGGGTTGGTGTGCGGGCCTGGCTCTCACCGAGGGGGGGCTCTGGCTGGAGTCACAGTAGGTCAGCAGTTCATACATGAGGACCCCAAAGGACCAGACGTCCGATGCATAGTAGAACTTACACTCCTTCAGGCACTCCGGGGCATACCTGGGGAGAAAGGGCACTCAAGCCATGGGCCAGGCCAGATTGGAGTCCTTATCTGAGGCTCAGGAGCCCTGTGGCCCCAGTTAGGGCCCCACCCTTAAGAGTGGAGGGGCAGGGTCACTGAACCCAGGCCCTGTTGTCTGGGACGCCAGCATCCATCTACACCACCCTGTCTGCTCCGGGTGACCATGGGGCCGCCCACCCACCCCTTCCGCTGGGTCCCGCCTGGTTACCAGAACACAGGACTGTCCCCATCCTCGCGCACGCAGTAGTACTCGTGGCCCTCGGGCACGGCCTTGGTGAGGCCGAAGTCCCCGATCTTGACCAGCCTGTTGTTGTCCAACAGCACGTTGCGCGCGGCCAGGTCTCGATGCACGTAGTGCTGTGTGTGCAGGTAGGCCATACCCTGGGGGGCGGGGCGAGTCTGGCTCAGGGGGGCAGGGCCTGGCCGAGGAGGCGTGACCAGGATGGCACGGACCAGGCGTGAGAAGTGGGCAGGATGGCAGATGGGGCGGGGGCAGAGCCAGACAGCAGAGGAGGGGCCGCAAGGGGGCGCTCGCGGGCAGGGGGCGAGAGAATCAGGAGGAGCCAGGCGCGCGGCGGGACCACGTCAGCGGTGGGACCACGTCAGCGGTGGGAATGACATGGGTTGGGGGGTCTGGGCCGGCGGGGGTGTGGCCCTATGATGGATGATTGGATGGATGGACAAGGATTGAGGAGAGCACGCCCAGGGATTGCGGGTCGAGGCCAGCAGAGGGGATCGGAAGCTCAGGCCAGGCCAAAGAGGGGGCAGGTTCTGGGAGTAGGGGCGGGCTGGCCCACCTCGCAGATCTGCAGGGAGAAGAGCAGCAGCTGGACCAGCCCGACATTGTGCCGGGGCAAGTAGTCTCGGAGACTGCCCAGGGGCATGTATTCCATGACCAGCTGTACCGACTTCTCGCCTGACACCAGAGAGGGGCAGCCCATAAGGGTGGTGGAGGCTAGGACCGCGGGCTGTCCACCCTGCACCCCTTAATACCAAAGTGGGGAGGGAGAGCCAAGACCCGTCCACACTAGGACCGGTCCTCAGCGGGGACCATCAAATCTCGACCCGTCCCCTGGCAAGGAAGCTGACATGGCTCCCACCCATCCCGACCTCAGAAAAGTATCTCAGAATGGCAAGGAGGCAGCCCGGCCTCACCCACCTTGGTGTCCACAAAGTGCATCCTCCGCCTAGGACTGAGAGGCGGAGGTCATGACCAGGTCATGTTGGCCCAGCCCCCAAAGCCCCACCCAAGCTCTAGTCCCGCCTCGTTACATTTCTGGGCCCCGCCTACCTTGGTCCTCGCAGCAGCCCTTGTACTTGACGATGTGCTTGTGGTAGAGGGTGCGTAGGATGTCGATTTCTCGCCTCCAGCTCGACCGGAGCTGGGGACCGCAGTCTGCCTTGAGGGCCTTCACGGCTACCATCTCACCAGTGCCGTCGTTGTTCGGGTCGTAGCAATACAGGCTGACCTTTCCGAAGTGACCCTGGCCACAGTGTGCAGGAGGGTCAGCCCCACCCCAGCTCCCCAAGCCCACTTTCTAGGCAGGTCTATTTGGAAAATCCTAGGCCCCGTCTGCTCCTTGTTGATGGGGACCTCTGGAAGCCGAGGCCGCCCTTTCAATTCCCCTGGGCCGCCCTTGAAGCTGAGGGTCTCTAAGACCAGAGATTTCTTACAGCCGAGGCCCTGCTTCCGGTCTTCCAGGCCCCACCCTGGGCATCCAGGTCCCGTCCCCAGCCCTCAAGGCCCTGCCCTCACCTCACCCAGATCACGGATCTTTTTCAAATATCGCTTGTTGAAAACCGTGGGATCTGAAGCAAGTGAATCCGGGCTCACAGACAAGACATCAGCGAGATCTGGAAGAGCCACAGTGGGTGAGTCCAGACAACCGCCCTCTCCCCCAATGAGCCTACACTTGGGGGCACAGAAAACCGATGACTGCTACCCAGCTCCCCCAGCTCTGATCCTCCAGACAAGGAAACTTTTTTTTGCAAGGGCTGAAAAATTCCATTTGTCTAAAATGCATAGTTGACTGCACCAAAACCGACACCTGGGATGTTTTGAGATTGAGTTAAGGGCACAAACTTTTCATTAACAACCAAAACATTTGCCAGGGTCTAATGCATCCAAAGAAGTTGTGGCTCTCCCCAAGCAAAACACTGAGAGCAGCGGGCGGGAGGGGGAGGGGCTTCCCTGGTGGTCCAGAGGTTAAGAATCTGCCTTGCAGTGTAAGGGACACTGGCTTGATCCCTGGTCCAGGAAGATCTCATGTGCTGCGGGGCAGTTAAGCCCCTTGTGCCGCAACTACTGAGGCTACACGCTGCAATTACTGAAGCCCATGCACCTAGAATCAGCGTTCTACAAGAGAAGCCATTGCAATGAGAAGCCCAAGCACCACATCTAGAGAATAGCCCCTGTTCACCACAACTAGAGAAAGCCCACACACAGCAACGAAAGCCCACCAGTCAAAAATTAAAAAAAAAAAAAAAATCTTGTTTTTTAAACAGAGAGCTTGGATATTCTCTCCCTTCTGCTTAAGTGAATTAGAAACCCACACATACTCTAAGCCACTGTACGGAGCCTTGGGGGCACCATGCCTGGGCCAGCAGGGATCCCAGCCCCTCCCTCCCTCCTCCAGGGTCCCCGCCCTGGCTCGGTGCTCACTCTGGGGCTGTAGCTGAGTGAAGTCACGCAGGATGGTGCGGAAGGACGGCCGCTGGGCTGGCTCGTAGGTCAGGCACTGGCTGGTGAGTGTGGCCAGCTCTGGGCACGAAGGTTCGGGCAGTTTGTGCTGCTTCTGGTAGAAGCGCTCTTTCTGGTGGGGAGGAGACTAGGAGTCAGTGTACGCCCTCAGTCTTGGTCCCGCAGGAGACGGAGTCAAGTCCTCAGAGGGACAGGGTGGACCAGTGGGCTCCTTGATTCTGTCATTTTACAGATGAGGTCACTGAGCCTCCACAAAGAGATGCAGAGCTGGCCATCACTGCAGAGTCTGGCCTGGAACCCAAGTCCAGACAACTGTGCTGTGCTGGAGCATCTCAACCTTGGCCTTTTCTGCTTGGATTTCCACCTGCCTCTGAGGATGGAAAGGAGGCAGCCAGGACTTGCCCACCTTCGTGTCTACAAACAGCATCCTCCGCCTGGGACTGAGAGCCTCTAAATGTCCAGGTCCTACTGGCGCCACCCACCAACTCCCAGGAAGTTCCTATGGTCTGCAGCTCCCTGAATGCACTAAAGCCCCCCAACCTTTGCAGAGGCTGTGTCCGCCACCTAGGCTGCCCTTCCCAGCCTGGGACACTGTGGTACTTCTGCACTTGGATTAAAACCTCCTCTGGGAAGTGTTGTCCCACCCCTCAGCTGGGTCAGGGGCATCCTCTGGGGACCCCTCCTCTCGACAGCCTGTGCTTCCTCCTTGAGGCCTGGACACACTGCCTAAAACAAAAGCACGTGACCTGGGACGTCCCTGGTGATCCAGTGGTTGGGAATCCGCCTTCCAGTGCAGGGTATGTGGGTTCAATCCCTGGGTGGGGAACTAAAGATGCCACACGCCATTGGGCAACTAAGCCCGTGCGCCGCAACCAGAGAAGCCTGTCTGCTGCAACTACTGAGCCCTTGTCCTTCAGAGCTCAAACACCACAACCAGAAAGCTGACACATGGCAGTGAAGACCCAGAGCACCCCAAAATTTAAAAAACAATCAATCATACATTAAAAACTGTTACTTTATAAAAATAAATAAAGTATGTGACTATCTGCCATGACCATGACCTTATGCAGCTTCCCAGGTGGCGTTAGTGGTAAAGAACCAGCCTGCCGACCCAAGAGATGTAAGAGTCGTGGGTTCGATCCCTGGATCGGGAAGATTCCCCTGGAGGAGAACATGGCAACCCACTCCAGTATTCTTGCCTGGAAAATCCCATGGACAGAGGAGCCTGGCGGGCTGCAGTCTGTAGGGCTGCAGGGTCACACACAACTGAAGCGACTGAACACGCACAACCTTATGAGGTCGGGACTGCATTTCACTGCAACTGACAGATGAAACTGATGGAGCCCCAGCAAGATGAGGCTGCACGGCCAGAGGGAAGGCAGCTCTGAACCCTGAAACGTGCCCTCTGGATTCCTTGGGGGGTGCCAGCCCTCTTTGTGGGAAGGGCTCAGGGGTGCTCCGGCCATACCTCAGAGGGACTGCGGCCCTGCAGGGGGGCCTCACCGTCGAAGCAGATCTCCAGGAGGGTGGCACCAAAGCCCCACTTGTCGGCTGCGGTGCTCAGGCTGTGGGCTCCACCAGACAGGCATTCGGGGGCTGTCCAGGGGATCCGCTCCACCCGCTCTGGGGGCCAGGGTCAGAGGTCAGCAAGGTAAAAGGAGTGGGGTAGCCCATCCCTGTGCCCAGCACCTCCTGGGTCCTCACCCTCCCTGGAGAGGGCACTCAGGCCCACGCCGGGGTCGCTCAGCTTGATGAAGGGGCTGGTGCCCTCTGCCAGCCCCAGCCGTGCCAGCAGGATGTTCCGGCCACACACGTTGCCATGAACCAGGCTTTTGTCTTCCTGGAGTGGGGGAGAAAGGGGGCGTGGCCACTGGGAACTGTAGATCCTACCCCTACCCATCCCACATGGCTCATGTGAAAAAGACAATTGTGGTTATTATGGATATGGCAGTACACTGTCATAATGACAAGGCAGCCCAAGGTCCCCAGTGAGTCCTTCTTGTTTTCCCAGCACTGGAGGCCAAGGCTCTCAGACAGAGACAAAAGGCCAGAGGACCCCACTGTTGTCCTCAGCCAGTGTCAGGTACACTCCTGCCCCAGGGCCTTTGCATTGTCTGTTCCTGCTGCCTGGAATGCACTGCCCATAGATGTCCTCAACCCCCCACCCCTGACCCCACATCATCTCCAGGTCCCCTTGGTGAGACCTTCCCCAACCCACCTAATTTAAGGCTTCACCTCTTCCCCAAACTGCAGCAAATCCTCATCTCCACCTCTGCTTTTTTCCCCACAGTTCTTGCTACTTTCTGACACATCATGTGATATACTTAATTATTACTGGGCTGGGCAAAAAGTCCATTCAGGTTTTTCTGTAAGATACTATGGAAGAGTGAGAACAGACTTTTTTTTTTTGGACTTTTTGACCAACCCAATATTTCTTGTTTAATCCCCCCCAAGTAAAATGCTAGCTTCCCCCAAGAATGGAGACTCCTGCCTATTTTATTCTCTCCTGGGTCCCCAGGGCCTAGGACAGAGCCTGGCACACAGAGGGTGTTCTGGAAATGGGTGACTGGACCAAAGAGGGCTGGGGATGAATGGCAAGAAAGAGCAAACAGAAACAACTCCCTTAGGGTCTTGGATATCAAGCTGGGGAGTCAGGGGGACATGGGAGTCACAGGGGTGGGTGAGCAGAGGAGGTTCATGGAAAGATCTAGTGGGTAGAGGGGTGTGTTGAGGCCTCCATACCCAATGCAGGGGCTTCCCAGGTGGCATTAGTGGTAAAGAACCCGCCTTTCAATACAAGAGACATTACAGATGTGGGTTCAATCCCTGGGTCGGGAAGATCCCCTGGAGGAGGGCATGGCAACCCACTCCAGTGTTCTTGCCTAGAAAATCTCATGGACAGAGAAGCCTGGCAGGTTACAGTCCACGGGGTTGCAAAGAGCCAGACATGACTGAAGTGACTTAGCAAGCATGCTCTCCTGAATGTGGGGGCTGCCCTGGCCCTCACCACCCACCCAGGCCCGGCCTGCAGGCCACGCACCAGGTAGCTGAGGGCGCTGGCCAGCTGCTGGGCCACTGCCAACTTCCAGGCCAGGGGCACGCGGCCCCTCTCCCGCCGCAGCCACACGTCCAGGGGCCCGTGCTCCACGTACTCGGTGACCATGATGTCTGCAAAGGCCCGGTCACTCTAGGTGCTGCACGCCCGCACACCCTCCAGAGTGCGGGGGGCAGGGCCTAGGGGCTGTGGCTCCCCTGGGGCGGGGAACCAGGCGAGACTCGGCAGTGACTTTGGGGAGAACAGAAACGTGGAGTGGAGTGCAGGCTGAGGTGGGGGCAGGATGAGGCCAAGGTGCAAGGTGGCATTGGGGTCCAGGGTAGGGCTGCGGCAGAGGAGGCTGAGGGTCAGTGATGGAGGTCAGGAGGGGCCCGGGGAGCCGGGGAGGGGCAGACGGTTGGAGGGAGAGGAGCTGGAGGTTGGAGCCTGAGTGACACTTGGATCCCCCAGGGCTGGGGTGCCTGTGCACTGGGAGGGGTGCGGGGTCAGCACGCGGGCCGGCATCGGGGAGAAAGGCCTTTGGGTCTGGAGGCTACCCATGGCCACCCTATACAATGAAGTACATGCAGAGGAGGCGGGGTGGAGGGTCAGGGGCTGAGGTCTGGGAAGACAGGCGGGCCAGCAAGGCTGGGGTCTGCTGGGGCCACAGCATAGGAGGGGTCAGAAGGTATACAAGGCTGGGACTGCAGAGGTGTCTGGTGGTGAAGGGAGTTTGGGATGCAGTCTGGAGTCAGAGTGGAGGTGGAGGGTTGGGGGGTAGCCAGGGATCAGGGTGCAGGTAAGGGTTAAAGTGTAGACAGGGTTCAGGGTGTAGGTGAGAGCTGAACAGGCACAGATTGGAGGGTGGTCAGGGTTCGGCGTGTAGGTCAGGGATAAGGATGAAGGTCAGGATATAAGTGGGGCCGGGCTGTCAACGGGGCGGGGATGTTGGGGGTCCGTGTGCCGGGGGTAGGGGACAGGCCACTCACTCTCGGAGCCGTGCACGAGGACGCCGTGGACGAAGACCAGATGCACGTGGGAGACCTGGCTCATGAGGCTGGCTGTCTCATAGAAGGCCTGAGGGGACGCGGCAGGTCAGGGGCCGCAGATCCCTTCATCCTGCCCCAGCCCCCCGGCCGCGCTCACTCACCAGGGCGATGTCGTGGTGACTGGGATCTAGCACCTTGAGTACCACACGCAGCTTCTGCCCATGGTCCCCAGCGGGCACGGGGGGTTCCTCGCCATCCGCCTTGTCCTCCTCGGGGCCTCTGCCCCCCACTCGCAAGAGGCCCTCATACACGTTGGTCCTTGTGCCCTGGCCCAAGTGGGATAGCTGGGGGAAGGTGGAGGGGAAGATCTCCATGACAATGGCTTAAGGCTGCCTCTCTGGTGCCCCATACCTTCAGGGTCCACCCCCCCACCCCTGCCACGCACCTGGGTGATGTCTTCCTGGCGGATCCGGTAGAAGCTGAGATGACTGAGATTGAGCGGTCTGGTGCTGGCCTGAGGCCCACGTGTGACGATGAGGTTGGAGATCTCTGGGGGTGGGAGTAGTCCCTGAGGGCTGTCACAGATGGGAGAGGCCTCCCCCCACCCCAATTCCCTCGAGGCGCCCCCATCTCCGTACCTCCCGGCCGGGGCAGGCAGCAGCGACGCAGGGAAAAGCAGTCGTCGCCGGCCCGCAGCGAACAGTCCTGCAGGGCGGCCCGCAGGTCCCGCACGCTGGGGAAAGATCGGCCCCAGCCCTCCAGCATGACTGTCCCGGCCCGGAGCTCAATGGGGAACTTCCGCAGGCGCAAGCCCTTGGTGCCGGGAGCCTGGAGCTGGCGGCGGCAGGGGTGGCGGCGGTGAGCAGGGGTCCAGGCAGGGAGCGCGCCCAGCCCCGGCCCAGGACCCCCGCCCCACGCCCACCTGGTCGCGCTGGGCCACTGTGAGGATGAGGCGGTGGAGGTGGCTGGTGCTCCAGTGGATGAGGTAGAGGCCAGCCTCGGGCTTCAGCTTGGCCAGCACGAATGGCTCCCTAGGGGGGTGGTGGGCAGGGAGCGGGGGACCATTATGGCAGCTGGGGGCACTGCTGGACCCACGCCTGGCAACAAAGACACACAAAACCTGCCCAGCAGGGCACACTCCCAGCCTGGAGAACTGTCAGTCACTGTGTCTGAACACACACATGAAATGTCACACCGTCCCACGCATGAAAACTCACACACAGACATGGAACAGGCACACACTCGTGCATAATAATTGTCAGACACCGTGGCAAACAAAGCCACACACACACACAGGAAACAGCTGTCAGATGGCAGATGAACACACGCCCAGCCACAGACCCCACCACTAGCAGTTCAGTTCAGTTCTGTTCAATCGCTCAGTCATGTCCAACTCTTTGCGACCCCATGGACTGCAGCACACCAGGCCTCCCTGTCCATCACCAGCTCCCAGAGTTTACCCAGACTCAGGTCCATTGAGTCAGTGATGCCATCCAACCATCTCATCCTCTGTCATCCCCTTCTCCTCC